TCCTATCGAAATTTTTAACGTCAAAATGTTTGATCAAAAATTATCTTAATGTCCGTATACATATGATGCATAAAAAAGCTTCGTGACGAATTTTGGAAAAGGGACGAATCCGTTTTTTCGATATTCTCGTTTAGGATCGAGATCGTGAAAATGACAATCAGGGAATCGGCGTTTAACGGTGAATAAATCTGATGAAATGCGAGGGGAATTTGTCGCGCGGATGATATCGTTCCAATGGCAAGCGAACATCGACGCCAATTAATTCGCGAAAATTATGTTTTCAAGCTTTTCATCGTCAGCTTCATTTTCACGTCTCTCTTTCCCCTTTGCATATTCGGTATTTTCGATTGCCGGTTTAATCGGGGTAAAGATGAACGGGATAAAAGAACGATTCATTTGTCCGCTGATTAAATCGTTCGACGAGGATCGAAAACGATTGTTACAATCGAATATTTTAATCTGCATACACGATTGTTATTTTGATACATACATTCAAATTGATGGTACGATAGAAATATATCACGGTTTCATCGTACATTTCGTCATTCTCTGTCTTTTTCGATTCTTCTCGGTGAATTCAATCATTTTTAAACTTAAAATATTTAATTTTTCGGTAAAAGAAATCGTAATGATACATTCTTTATTCGCGTGATAATTTTAAATATTTTTTTCTTCGACTTCACTATTTTGAACGAGTTACTATTATTATTGATCGACGAAAAGCATTTTTATTAATTTATGAACAGAAGAGGAATTGAAGAAGAATGAAGAAATAAGTAGAAGAAAAAATTAGATAACGATGCAAAAAAATTAAGTGTAAAAAGGAATAACGAGAATATTAATTCTTTGGATATATTTGATGAGTCAAGAATCAAATTGAGGCAATATTCAATAAATTTGAATTTGCATGTACTTCTTTCTACACTTCACCTGAGTCCAAGTGATAATTTATTAATCTACTGTATTGATGTATCTGAAGCATAAAATTATGGAAGCTAATTTAATCAAACTGTCCACTACTTTTCTACTATCTTCCAAAATGAAAAGACACTGAGAGCATAATGAAAAAGAAGACTTCATTTCAAAAATAACTGAGAATCATCAAAATATAATCTTCAATACTATTATTTTAGTTGAAAAATCACATCGTGCAATCAATTTAAGAATTTTAATCAGCACATATGTGGTAAATTAATCGATCAATCAAAAATTAACTTTAAAACATTATCGTTCAAAGAAAACATCAGCTTCCACAAAGTTTAAGTTAGTCACCGTGCGACGTTAAGCCCACAATATGACATGAAGAGTTGAGAAAGGAAGAGGGGAAAAAAATACGACTTGCGATCCCTCGAGGATTTATCACGAGAAGAGGAGATCCAACTGGAATAGGAAAAGATGGAGGCCGAGGCTATTGAAAATGAGAAATCTTTTCAGACGAGGTTGAAATATATCTTTAAACGGAAACTAACGTGGATACGAGATGCCAGTCGCTAGAACTCAGCAATATTTATGATGCGAATCGGCCTGGTAAAATTCCTGAGGGATGTTGGTCGCCACGCGAAGGCCGAATAAATGCGGTCTGCCGACCCATTTCAACGAGTGGACAAGAGTAGATTTTGGGGCTAATTTACTAAGATTTCATTTGGTGTTGGTAGATTATGCATTATGATTGTTGCGCAATTATGACTTGATTGTTTTCCGAGTAGGATGTTTATTTCCTTGGTTAACGTTAATTAGGATACCGTTGTGGCCTTGGTTCCGTGAAATATTTCGAACAGGGGGTGGAATATTTGAATCTTGCCTCTTTTAATTTTACGTTACAGCTCGTTTGAATTAACTTTTCGTGTATTAAATCGCGCTATCGTTATTACTTTTACCGTGATTTTTTTATTTTTAACTTGATATCAAAGGAAGCGAATTTGAATTTAATCCTTTGATCTTATAACACACCACTGTTTTTATTCAACAGAAATTTCAATTATTTATAATTTGAATAAATAAAACTCGACGTTCTTGTATATAATTTGTTTTGGCACTTAAAATTAACTTTTCAAAAGAACCGCATATATTGCTAAAATATATTCATTAAACGCTCAAATAATATTTGAAGATATTTTTTCAACAGGCGATAAATACGATTATAGAAGTCAGATTATTCTTGTTCGTTGCCATGATAAAATTAAAAATTACTATTATCGCGTGCACGCAATAAAGCTTCCCCTTTGTACTCTTAAATATGTAAGTCTCTCTAGTGTTAGCGCAATTTTATATCACCTCGGAAAACTCGGAAAAAATGCTTGTAAACTCTGGTCGCGGGTTCTAAACATGCATAGCTCGTGACGGAATTTTAAAACAGATGATAATAACAAAATATCAGAATTACACGAAGGATTAATGAAGACAATTTTTACGAGTACGTCGAGTTTCTTTTAAATATAATTTATCATAGATGTGTAAAATATTCAAATTTTATTTCTTGTAAAATATATATTTTTCCAAACGGAATTTTATTCAAAACGAGAGCAAAAAAAAAAAATGCTCGAAACTTTGAAGATTGATTTCACTCCCCAAACAAATTTTTCCTCGAAAACGAATTGTTCCACGAATAATTCAGTATATGCTTTACACGAATTTTAATTAAAATAACAATTTTAATTTTATTCCTCGTATTTTCCCTTCTGAATATATTTCCAACAAGCTCTGCTTCAAATCTACAAATCTATCTTTTGATTTTGATTTTGGTACGCACGTGCAATATTAAATATTTAATATCGCGGTTCGTATACACGAATAGATAAATCATAATTTGAACATTTAGCATTTAACAGAGGTTAGTAGCTTCTAAAATTTAATTTATTATCTATCATAAGGGTAAAGAGTTGACAATACGCTCTATATTGAAGCAAAAACAACTCGCGAGAATAATCCCTTTCCGCGTATTTCCATCAATCAAGGGATAGAATTCCAATGGGTGGCGATTTTGAAAATACGACATCCTATTATACCCAGTGATACGGATGATATAGGGGGAATCGCGAAAAGCACGCGATGCACGGGAAATGAAGTGTCTTTGAGTCTCAATAATCCACGAAATAGATATTCGCCGGTGGATAGAACATTTTGTTGCAAATTTATCGACGTCCGCGCGGATTTACGGTTCGCAATTTACGATCTAGGCGGCCATCTACGATCGGCCGGCAAGAAACATTGTTATGGTTTCGCGGCGGGGTCAACCCTTGACTCCGGCCTGGAATTATTTTGCATAAATTTCACCTTATATGACTTCGCAAACCTTACTTCGCTCTGCTTTCGTGTTACGCTCGTTGAAATCAAATTTCTCGAGTAATAGGTTGCGAGCAAGTTGGATAATTCGTATCGGGTTATAGCTCTGTCGGGGAGAAATATGAAAAAAAATATTGGATAGGGAAATTTTGCACTTTTTTTCAACGTTTTTTTTATTGGTTTTTATATATATTTAACTATAAGAACGTTTTTTGATTTAGTTTTAGATCGGTTTCAGATCTAGTTAATAACGATTTCTGATTGTCGTTCATTCCGGGAATCGTATCTCAATATTTTAAGTCTCTAGTCTGAAATTTAAGATTGAAATTTTATGACACGTTGATTGAAACTCGTGTAATAATTTTACATTGGTCTCGAGGAAACATTTGAATAAAATTGCTTTAACGATTGTCGTGTTAATTAACTCAATTTAAAATAAAAGTTTCGAAATAGTTTGGATGGTTATACATTTTTGAATAGCTCTATAAATTGACCTCGAAGTTCGAGCAAACAATTTTCTACAGAAAGAAGTAATCGAAGTTGGCGAAATCCGTTCGAAGATTCGATGGTGCATCTCTATATCAAGCGAGATTAAACAAAGATCCTACCACGATCCTGTTCAATGCTCTACTTTCGGACTTTCCGGTTAATGCGACGATTTAATCCCTTCTCCAGAACTTGGCCTATGTATTGCCTACCATTTAAAAGAATTATCCTTTATTATATCCTTTTGTGGTAGGGAAATCGACTAATCCTTTCAAAAACATGATCTCTTTTTTTAAAAGGGATGCTTTATCCTTTTTGGTTGAAAGAAAAACTTCCAAAAAATCCATATAAAGAATCGTATGCAAGCATGAAATGAACAGAAGATAAAACGGATAATATAAAATCATAGTTTGTCTTCACAGACGATTTTTCGAAATCTAACGCATTAATCGATGTAAGTTTAAAGTAATTTGAGATTTTAAAATAAAAAGTAATTATTTATTTATTATAATTGGTTCCATACTATTATTTTCTCCGTTTTATTATTGCCTCGAGAAACGATCTCTTTTCCCTTTTACGACTCTATCATTATGCATGCCGTGTAATCCTTGACTGATATAAAAAATTTACAGGGATTGGCTGAACGTATATCGATGATGAAAATCGCTCTTGCAACGATGGATAAAAAGTCGAACAGAAATCCGAGACACGCCTTTAATCTTCCACAGTTTATTAAGCCTCGAAATAGTGAGACTCGAGAGGCTCTTATTTATCAGAAATCCGTGCCTTATCTTCGTTTTAATGTTTTCCGCGACGAAATATTCGAGGCGTTAAATACGTTGAGGGACACCGTGAGGGAGTTGTTGAAATTATATAGAAGAGAGAAATAGAGGAAGTTTGGAAAAAGGAATAATAGATAGGTCCATTTTTTACAATGGCAAGAATATTAATAAATAGTAGTTGTGAAATTTTTTTAGATATTAATTAATAGAATTAACATTCCAGTATCCACTTTTGATAATACTTTCTTTTTTTTTTTTTAGGTAAAAGAATAGCTATCGAAAAATTAGAAAAATAAAAAATTAAATCGAGAAATTATTAAATTGAAAAAAAATCGAGCATATTATGTTTCTCTTGCCATAGTCTTTAAACGTAAACGCGTAGTATTTCGAATGTAAAATATTTATACAATTCTTTGGAGAGAGATCGTGAAAAATATATCGGAAGCATACCTTTCTTCGATGTTCGGAAAGAATCGTCCTTAGGGACGTATTGAATATCGTAGACCAGCGTGGTGTTCGCCAACAGAGTTTTATCCTTGTTGATCTTATAAATGGCATACTTGAATGCCAACTCCGAAGGACTGTCTTTTTGATCCTCCGTGAAGATTGCACCTGCAACAGGATGAAAAAAACCAAACCATCAATAATCGTGACGAATAGAATTCTTCGAGAAATTGATAAATAATTTCGTTTCAGTTTATCAGTTGATCGTTTTTGCATAGATGGTTTGCTCGATAATAAATTTTGAACGGTTTAGACGAATTAGGGAACTTTAATCAAATTGGAATGATTTCGAAAAAAATGGTGTTGGTGGCAACAATTTTTCGATCCAAATTGAAACCATTCTATTCTATATTTTCAACAATTTTAATTACGTTGTATCGATCAGACTTTCGACGAGTTGAGCAGATTCAATTATAAGCAGCTTCGCAATAGCAAAACGTTTATAATCGCGTCTCTTTCACGAGGTAATTGCACGCTCAAACCAACAATCGATAATTTAACGTGTAATTTATTACTGTGCAATTATTCAACAGAGTTACATGATCTATAGAACTTTGGAATAAGGAGTTTGTTTTGAAATGAGGAAGAAATGAGGAAGTATTCCGAGAGGAAGAATCATTAAAGAACCATCATAAAATGGTTCACCAGATGGTTGGGAAAACTTTGAGCAGATATTTAATCAATGGATATCATTTAAAGTTGCTACGATATTTTAACCGATTTCTTCGAAACAAAGAAAATTTTATTTAATGATATCTAAATGTTTAAAGATATCATTTTATATTTGATATCTTTATATGCATATATCAAACGTTGTCAAAAATATTATATTAAAAAATTTTTAATTGTAGATATATCGATCGTTAGGATAATATTTCTTGATACACGAGAGGAAGAACCATTATAGAACGTACAAAGAATTTTTTAATTTTCTCAATTTCATTTCTGATTATTCGTTTGATCAATTATAAATCTTTCTCTCTTTCTCTCCCTCTCTGATCAATAAATTTAAAATATTATCTCATTAAATTCGAAATAAGGGAGAGATATGAACGAGACTTGAGACTTGAGCATGATTTCCGTCGATATAATTTTTACACGCCGAAAGCTCTCAACTTTCGCAACTTTGATGATCAATTTTATTTTTTAATTTTTCGTGGAGAATCGTTACACCATCCTTTGCATAAAGAAGACGAAGCTTCTTTTCCCTAGCATTTATCTTCTATTCTAATTTCACCATTGTTAATTTATCGCATCTTATTTTTTTTTTTTTCCTATTTCTCTTCAAGCTCTACGCGTAGTTTAAGTTAAAAAGTTTATCAAAAACGATTCATCTTCGAACGGGTCGATTTAATCTTTATTTACCTTACCACGTTATATTATTTCTTCTTTCCATCAATTTTGTTTTCTCTTTTCATCGAATCTTTTTTTTCGAAACTTTTTTTCATATTTAGATACTGTTTATATTTCGAAAAAATATTCTAAATTGAAAGCATGGATGATGTTCGTTTTGTTAGTTAGCTTGAAGTTGGGTAAAATTCACGGGCATCAATTTTACGCGATAAAATTGTCCGTTGCGAGTTTAGTCGAATTTATCCATGTCAGGGGTGGAAATACCCTCGGTTGAAAACTTCTTTCATGAACCAATCGATCTCCATCGCTCTGTCAAAACGACATAGACGAGAATTGATCAAGTTGAATTAATTGTTTCTAAACGATCCTTGAAGGAGACTACATTCTTGCCTGTCTAATTATCACCGTCGAGAAGATTAATTTTCTGTCCTGGGTTTAGGGATGATCTTCCTTCCATTTATCAGAACTTCTGTGACATTTTAAATATGTAAAGAGATTTATTGTTTTTCCAAGATAAGAAACAAAATGTGCGATCAATATTCGAGTCGATTTTATGATAATTCATGATCAATCGTAGAGAACATTTTTCGTTCGAGTTAGAAGAAAGAAAATTATAATAAATTTAATTAATATTTCAAAAGAAAAATTATTTTATAATTGATTTCATAAAATATTTTTTATTAAGAGGAAAAAATATCTTTAATATCTTATTTTATGTTATTTTCCATTATTGCATCGTAATTATAAATTTAAATTTTCAAAAATATCTCTTCTGTATTATTTGCATAAAAGTAGGAGTTACAGGAAATTTATTTCAAAAAATATTCAAAATTATTCCAATTAGACCAAGAAAAAATAGAAACAGTACTCTTGGATAATGGTGGAAGTTGATGAGATTCTTCTTTGATAAAAGCTGTTTCTAACTATCAGAGTCTATTCTTTGTTCTCCAATTGTTGTTTCTCTCCTATATTCCACTGGTTGTCGTTTAAAGTCGCATTAAGAAGTTTCAGTATGGGAAATATGCGTTGGATCTTGGTATATTCGAATTTCGACTCGATAAAAATTCTGTAGATAGAAATTCGTACGTTTTCCTATTTATAATATATGCCAATGAAATTTTCTAATCTATACCATTCACCTCAAGTTCGTATCGTGTCTCGTAACCACTCTGATTTTCTATTAAATTTGTCGATTTCATTTTAAAAATTATTTAGAAGATCCTGATTCATTAATTATCGTGTCAAAACGAAGAATCGATTGAAGAACTTTTTAAAAATCATACAATTAATCTTGATAATGACATTTTACACTTAATATAAATCGAAAAAAAGGTTCTCAAAAAACAAGCATTATTTATTCTTACTTTATATCGAGAATAAATAATTTATATTATTTAGTCAAAGGATAAGGCAAATTTTATTTACGAAAAATTGATAATATTAAAATTTAACGAAATTACGTCTAGAAGAGAATATGTCTGATCATCGTCGTCTTATATTACTCTCTTGGTGCGAATATTCTCTCAACTGTACTCTTAAGGGAGACATCGAAGATGTTCGCTGGAAAGCTCCCAATCGCATGCTTTTTAAATCGTTCTGACTGACGTACGCAGCGAGATGTTTTCTTGAAGAACTTTTATTGAAATTGAGCATATTGAGGCGAAGGATGGATAGAAATCGTCATTTCCCCTTTGAAATTACTTTTTCGCTAATCGAGAGTTCGGAGACATAATCCGTTTTGATGTACATGAAATTTTTTATTTTAAATATAAAATCGAAAAATTAGATTCTTTTAAGTGGTTTTTGAGAATAGAACAATCAATTGATCATCTAAATATTAATATAATTAAGAGGAAGAAATTAGATATTAGTTTTTTAGAGAGAGGCGATTATTATTCCAAATAAAAATAGAGGATAGAGAAAAATTGAAACAATGATAGAGGAAAATTTTGCACTATTATTAACACTTTTATTATATATTATTATATTCTCTCTGGAATTTTATAAAAAAACGAGGTGCTTTTCAAATATGAATGATGCTCGATAGGAGTATGAAAGTGACAGAAAAAGATTTAAATTAAAACAATTGAGAATTTATGATAGATATTAAAAAATAAAATATTTCAAAATTTATGATTTTCTTTTACATAGGAATAATTCGTTTAAAAAAAAAGTACTCCAATTTACAATTGTATCGACGTATATTAAACAAAGTGCAAAATTTTCCATTGTCATTTTTTTTTTTTTAATTTCACATTTAATCCTATATTGTTGTCACAAAAAATTTTTTTTCGTATCAAATATAAAAAAATAAAAATTTAGAGATATTTTATTGAGCTTGCCAAGAGATTTTAAAACAAATTTACACGGATAACGAAATGATATTTAACGTTCTAAACGTTCGTTAAATTTTCAATCGATGAATTGGCAAAATATCTCACTATCGAATCTGCTTTTGGAACGAATATACTTTTAAACGCACTATATAGAAACGCTCGAGTCATAGCCGCCGAACGAACTCGATTGCACGCGGAATATAAATATTTCGCGACGGAATTGCAAAGTGTGTTTCTTTTCCGTATTGTGCTCCCCTATCGGATAGGCTACTATATTGGCCGAGTTGCGATATATCGAGGTGATACATCGAGTTTCCGCGTTTGTTTGCGATTTGAATGTGACCCACGTTCGATTCGACGATTTCGCTTATAATATTTCATTCCAGTATCCTGGATTAAAAAAAAAAAGAAGAAAAAAACAAATATAAAATAAAAATAAAAAAAAGGAATATGGAAAAAATATAGAGGAAACGAGCCGCGTAATTTCTATGTGCGAGTCACTCGTCGCAAAAACAGATTATCTTTTGAAAATTTGACAAATGTGAATAATAATAACGAATAATCTTAGTTTTAAAATTTGGTTGTTGTCGGTGATTGGTTTTTATGGATCGTTTAATTTTTCAGGGAACGATGACGCGGATATGTATCATGTAAATTGAGTGTCGTATTTATATTTTCAAAATGGAATAAAATATAAACTATTCGAGGTGTTTTATATTTTATGTATTTTAATGTAAAATCCATTTCCATTATATCGATAGAAGATTATTATTCGAATAACTTTTTAGTTTTTTCCATCAAACTTTTTTAATTTTTCATTAAATTTTGGTGGCACAATGGTGATTTTATTAGTAATATTGTTTTCGTCAATCATATAAATTATCGATTATACTCCATAAATAATATTATTAAGCGAACTTGATATCGAAATAAAGAAATCTGAAATATCTCGAATAGTTTGTGTTTCATTGCAATTTAAATATACATGATGCTATATTTCGGTATTATCATCATCATGAATATTTTAAACAAAATGTATTACTATGCTTGAGTAAAAGCTCTGACTGTTAATGACTTAGCTGAGAAATCTTTTGAAATTTTTACTCGCGAAGGGACAGTGCAATGCCGCCCTAGAGACAATTTAATTGATAAAATTGCTCTTTCACTGGATTATATAAAAGGCGTTATATCAAGGAAAGCTTTGTTTTATTAAGAAAATTCGTCAAGATTGTTGTATGAGAGATGGCCGGGTACTTTTTAATTAACTGTAGGCAAGTTCTCGCTTTTTACTCTCTGTTTTGCTACGCTGCTCTCCAACCAGTGTGAATAATTAATGAGATCTTTCGAATACTACCGCACGTGGTTAAAAAATAATTTTCACTTATTACCAAGTATAATACTCTTTCACAATTTTTTCTC